TGGTTATATTTTTTTATTTCAATAACAACGCAATAATAAAGCCACTTGTAAGGGCATTTGAAAAAATATCCACTGAAAAGTCAGGCCAAATGCGAATTTATTCATATTTGAACAAACCCATAAAATAACTGTCGAAGACTAACAAGCTAGGTGGGCAAGGTATTTATAACGGGATAAGGGTCAATGTACACAATAGTTTATATTAGGTTGGGTGTAACATTAATGGGTTAACATTAGCTAAATCAATCAACCTGGCAGACCTGTTTGATATACTGCTAAAACCCTGGGTTCTTCTGTTAGCTTGTCTGTCCGACCCTACTTACAGTGTTCAAATTAGGCTGATTTTGTTCAGGTTACTAAAGTTCTAACCGAAAAAAGCTGTGCGTAAGGCAAGGCCGACTGGATTAATCATTTTTCCCCCATACAATTGCAATATGAATTTGGAAAACCTTACTCTGTTTTAGCAGTTGTTCAATCACCGTGGAGAATTTGTAAAAATGTTTATATCGGGAGGTTATTATTTCAAGCTGTATAAAATGGGTGTAAAATTCGACTTCGTCAAAGGATTTTTTCTAAATAGCCCATTTTCGATCAAATGGTTCGCAGTGGATGAAACATGAACCATTTCTGTTCATTTTCCTCGAGTGTGCGACTACTTTTCCAAAAAAAATTTTTATTTTCCCTTGGAAAATGAAATTTAAGCTCAACGCTTATCTGGTTACGTTACGAAGTTGTTGACGAATACCGAACCATCTTAACATATCCGGGATATACTTTTCGATTCGGTAAATTATGTTTAAAGTTAATTAGGTATATCAATTTCTTTGGCGATTTGGTTGACAACCGTTGAGAATTTGTGATACGCTTAAGCTAAGAAGTTGTTTTTTTTTTGCTTATGGAGGGTCATTTTTATTGTTTTACTTTTTTCGATTTAACGATGAAATTGTCATATCTTTCTATATAGCCACAATTAATGAACTATTAACCTTCGCATGTTCGCCTTATTTGTCTGTGCGATTACTTCTTTTCCAAGAAATAGTTTCTTTCTCCTATAAAATTACGTAATGCTAATCTTGTTTTTCCTATATAATTATTACAGCTGATGTCCCACAATAAACTGGATTTTCGATTTTTGCCCTTTGTAGGCAGTTTTTCCGCAGGAATTTCTAATATCTGCCGATAAGAAAACCGTACAGGTTGAACTAGGTTATGTTTTGGTAATATTTCTGTCAAAAATGCTTTTTTTGACAAAATGGCAATTGAGTATCTACATGGAGGCCTATGTTAGGTGGCGTTTCTGATACCCGTCGAAAGCCCTCGACGAAGTGAATTTAAATGCAATATATACGGTTCTTCACCCAAATGATACTTTTCAATTAAAAGATGCCATTGGAAAACTAAAAGTTTAGCGTGGTATTCTATGTAAGGGGATTTTTTTCGTTATTAATCGATAGATCTTAACAAGGTGAGTAAAATTACAATACGTATGCCCAAAAAGGGGTATTTCCATCAATGAGATAAAAATCTGTTCAGGGAAAATTTCAAACAGCTCTTTGAACAAACTTTCCTTTAAGTGTCAATTGGAAGGTTATTACGTGAAGATTTTTTATGAAACACATTTTCTCAAAATACCCTATGAGAGATTTTTTACATACAATACGAAATATCAAAAAGATTTTTTTATGTAGCGTACCATTTAATTGGCACAATTAAAATTAACAAATCTATAAATAATAACAAAATGCAATGAATCCTCTTAAAGCTGGAAGTAGTATTTCAGCGTGGAAAGAGTCAAAAACCTAATATGGTGGCCATTTGGCGAATGTGCCGCTGGAATGAAGATATTCTACATGAAGGCCTACATAAGGAACGTATATACAAAAATTTCTATTTTCAAGTCGCATTCTAATAAGGTAACAATTCGACATTTTGTTTTGTGTACGGTGGCTTTTCTTGACAGCTAGGCATCGATCAGTTGAATAGAACTGTAATAGATCTTCCTATTGCGAAGGTGGATATTTTTGAATTGGAATAGCGAAAATTCTAAGGGTCGAATCAGTCTACTCTGATGCATCAATGAAATGGACATGCGGTTGTATTTTTTGACCGAATTTCTAATTCACATTAGTTGAAACGTTGAAGCGGTGAAAATCCCTCTAAAAAGATCCTATAATTAATCGTTGGAATTTTGTTTTTAGGAAAAATGTCAAAATATATATATAAATATTTGTTATAACGAAAAATTATAGAATCCCAGAGCTTTTGTAATGTCCTAAAAACTTTTGCGTCTCTACGCAACACTGTATATAACTATTACCCAAAAAATTAAAAAAAAAATAATATTCGCTTTCATAATTCTCAGAAAGGTATTAATACACCAAAAGAAACATATCAGTCAAATATATATATACTGACTTGTCGAAAAGAGTATTGATCGCTAGAAAACAAATTTGAAGCAATATTTTTTAAATTTCAAAATAATATCATTAAGCTGAGTGTACGCTATTTTAACCAATAGCTTTCTGCAATTTTTCCAGTAACATAATGATCCCATCATTGTAGAACTTCTGCAGTTTTTACGCGAAGGGAGACTTAAGATGATTTCTGCATACGCTTGATGAAACCAAATTAACACGGTTAAGAGAGTGCAAAGGCCGAAGCAGACGATGGTCTGGTAGTACAATATATGGGTTTTACGGTGGATGTATTAAAATTTTCCATTCACGTTTAACTTTCGGCGGGTAGTAACGATGTATTTAGTCTAGAAGACGGCGTCTTTTCTATTTGCCTGTCCCGGTCAATTTTTCCCAATAACGTCTTGTATTTCGTCAGTTGTTGATAATAGACGTCCGGGTGAATTGTTTTCTAGGCAACAGACACTTATAATGGTTCCCCTCTAATCCGACCAAATACATAGCATCCTTTCCGTTGTCGTCAGCGTAAGTTTTGTCACACACTGTGGAGCACATCTTTTTGTTTGCACATTATAGTCGCCTGTGGTCCACTTTCATACTCACGATCAACCGCTTTAGAAATGATTCAGTTCATTTCATTAATAATTTTATCAAACCTTTCCGTAGTTTATCGACCACTACGAGGAGCACTTTTCACATAACAATTTCAAAAACGAAAGTGACAAAACCGACTTCGAGCCGTTTCCTCCGATAACGCACCTTAATCATAAACAGCCCAGATTTTTACTAGTGCCTTTATCGTGATAACATTCTAAAAGATACTAAATTTTTGAAGAAATTTAGCTAATTGTTGAGGCGATCTGCCTAAAATCTGAATGAAGACATTCCAAAAATGCCGCCACGTCTACTTCCGAATTTCAGCTTACCACGAGATACCACGCCCATCCCACGCGATTCATATTACTTTAAGTAGGTCACTTCAAAGCTGTTTACCTAAAAAGAGCCTATATTATTTCAACATCCCAATATACGTTTTTCTAGAATATGCAACTACTTATTTTAAAGAACACGTGATTTTTGGGTGACATCCAGGAATTAAGTCGATCTTCATTTGATACAGTATAGTTAATTGTTTCTTAGAAAAAAAAATAAACGAAAAACATTAAGGAGCAGAATCAACAGATTAGCGGTTTATATATGTAGAAGCGTTGAATAAAAATTAGCTGAGGATACAGCAACGAGCCAAATCCAAAGAAGCTTCATAATCAGAATGTAGAGTCACACCAAAAGATAACACATCACGAATATAGCAAATCTAAGTTGGTTAAGCCTTTTGGCAAACCCATTGGGACAGACTGCTGAAATAATTACGGAGATGTAGCCGGTTAGATGGAGCGAAATTACTGCAATGAAACAATTGCCAATATACGATAGTAAAGGCTAAGCTAGATAACCAATCAGATTACTTAAATTTATCAATACCAAAAGAGCAAAGAGGTGTAGGTCCGTACAATCATCACAAAAACTGAACTGAAATATTCATCGACTAAGTGAATCCGAACCTATAATTTCATGTATTTAATAAATAACGTTTCTCTAGTATTATTGCCAATCGCTATTTACACCAGGTCCATAATTTAGGCTAATAGGGCCTGCGTCGTCTCAACTGAGCACTATACGTTCATAACAGTGATACACTAAATTCACAAGACCACCGTAGTGGGGCGCTGTAGTATCGGGGTCTGAATCATGCGCCATCCCCCCCCCGCGCTTGCAGCACCGTGTTAATTATTGCTGTGTCAATTAATTAATTTCATTGAATTAGTCCGAAAGCAGATGCTATGCGACAAGTCGATCAGAGACGAGAGTGCTAAATGGAGAATGGAGTGAAATTGTGCGAGCAATAATAGCAAATGGCGATCATAATAACAATAGCCATACAAAGGATAACACTAGCCACTCAGCATTCCATATCGACATTAGATAAATCTGCGCTCTAAGTCAACTACCGAAACAAATCATGCGTTGAGCTACTTGTTACTGTTGACTAATATGAATCCTCGTTTATCGGTGAAATGTACGTATCACATGTATATACATTATATAGATTTTTTTAAAACTAAACTGATAGACGTTCGTTAGGAACAACAACATTGGTCCGTTGCTTAGATTCACATATTCCAAGTTTTCCCCTGTTCTCCTAAATGTGGGTCGTTAGCATGTGCACGTTTTTCGTTTTTTCTGATTTCTTTTGGACTTGGAAAATTTCGAAATACTTCATAGGACCCAATGAACAAAGCTTCACTTTTGAATAAAAGGCCTAATGTTTTGATGCGATAAGAAAGTTGCTGACTCCAAAATGTGTGACACATTAACAAAGGGCCATCCACTAATATTTCAATTATTTAGTAACTTTGTCATAATTTTTTTCGCTTGCTATAAAGCCTACCTCAAAACAGTAAGACGAAACGGAACTCCTAAGACAAAAGCGCCGGGTCTCGCGCGCCCGCCTTGTCGAGTATACTAAACATGCATCCATGCATACGATGCATTCATTTGTTCAGGTATCTTAAAGCGCTACCACCCCCTTCTTCTTCACCTGAAGCAGCTGAGCCGCTCTAGTGCGGTTATAATTAAGGAACGTAATAACTAGTGTTTTCTCCGTGGCTTATGGAAATGCCAACGTGATTTATGTTTCTAAGACTAATACACCTATTTGTAAATTTGTGGCTGACTAATGGATTTTTGGACAGTTCTGCGTGAGTGCCTTTTTTACTGTACGAGGAAGTGAAAACACATTCATTTGTATTTGAAACTTCATGGAAATCGATTAATTGGTGGTAGCATTTGCGTTTTACCGTGCACTCCACGCGTCGAGTCTAGTCTTCTCAGAGCTGAACGGTGGCAACAAACAACTATGACCTTTATTCGTTATTTTGCCCTACAATAATTAAGATTAATGGCCAGTATAGTGAATCAATATGGGTAACTAAAGCGCACGTTTCGTACAAGCAGTGCTCTGGAAGCCTTTTTACCAATAGTTATTGAAAATTTCATGCACAGTCGATTATTGCCTAATCGATAAGAAATAGGTCGAGATATTAGCACATACACCATAAATAATGACAACAATCCATTGTTAACAGGTTATTTTAAATAAAATTGAATGGCTATTTCTGGAATCAGTGTAATGAACACGAACATTTATTTATTTGGAAACCATTTTTCAGGGAAATGTAATTCATTAAGAAATGCTTAAGTTATTTGAAAAACGATTCCAGATTTATCAACAAAATGCAGCTTCTATGCAAAGCGAAAATCAAAACTTTTTAGATTAGTCAAGAGAAAAGTAAATCCGTATAGATTTATGAAAAATAGTACACGTTTTGAGGACATTTTATGATTAAGGTATCCTGAGTACTACCTGAAAGATAATTATAGGAAAACAGCTATTCGAATCAGCACTTTGTCTTGCTGGACCATTGCTCCAACCACTCGACGGCTTTAACAGGCCATACTTAGCGTAGCTCGATCTGAAAACATAGACTAGATTTCCACCAGCTGTACAATCGTTTATGCACACAGCTTATCATTGATATTAAGCATTACTAGAGTACTCAAGCATTCTTTCACAATATCAGCAATACAATCGTATATGTACAGGAAGGCCCGACAAAATTCGGGCCTGCCTTATACTTTGCTTCTTGGATTGTACATAAATCACGAGAAATGTAGAATGAAATGCTGTGTGCTAAAAGTGTCGCTGATGGTTGTGTTTATGCTGTCTAGATTTCACTCTTGTGGGTTGCATTTCAATTTGGGCCCTAAACTGCTAACCAGTCATTTTAAAAATACGCTTCGATTATTTTTCAGCTGTACTTATTCCATCGATCTACAGCAGTACATCGAAAGAGCTTTTATCTGCTGAGATAACTTTCGTACGGCTAATAATATATCTGATATACGAGTCTTGGCTACTTTGTAACAATTTGACCACCCTCAAGATGTATTTGTTTCAACTTTCTTCACCTCCTTGATCTCAGAATTTTTGTTGAAGGAAGGTATCAGATTTGTTATACTTCGAAAATATTAACTGAACACGCACTTCTCAAGCTCTGTAAATTGTCTTTAGGAAAGGTTTTTTTTTTTTATAAAGCATTATAAATAACTGACAGAGTTCCCCTAAACATTACGTTGTAATGTGTTCTAGTTTATGACATCAGGTGCCTTTCTTTACAGTACTTGAAAACTTTAGAAGCTAAAATAATAAATCATAAAATGATTTGTATATCATTTACTTCTAGACATGATTCAAAAAGTGCATCAGTGGTTTCTAAGAACATGCCGTAATTACATCTAACAGCTTTAGAAATTCCCGCGCTATATATAACACTGTGAAATTAAGCCTTTCTAATGTTGACTTAGCCAGTTTGTTTGACGTACGATTATTGTAGAAACAAGGTCTCTTTGTGAATTTAAGAAATAGAATTATTGCGTATCTAATTTTCTCTTACTTACCTAGGCTTCTTATCATATGATATCAAGTTAGTTCATTCAAAACAGACGCACATCTAGACCTCACGAGCCGCTGTATTCTTAATGTTACAATAACTACTTTTCCTATGCCTTACAATACGAGTAAATAGAAAGCCAAAAAATGCCAATTCAATATCGATTTGGAACTTCAGTGGTTTGAGGCTGAACGCGAGACTCTTTTTGCATAAGCTTCGCAACTTCTTCAAAAACCTAGACACGGGTTAACTTGCCAGGAATAATAAAGCAAAGACACCTGCATATTATATTCACATTTTCTAAAGGAACGTTCTTTCTAATAGGCCGGGCTAATAAAATTTAAATGCAGTCGGTTAGGCTAAAATTGACATTTTTTTTTTTGTATAACGAGTAAAAATGTGTACTTATTATGTAATAGTTTCGTTTGCCCTATGTCACTGGTTTTGCCATCAATGTTACCAGTAGATTCAGAAACGAATCAAACCACACTATATTGAATACAGTTTTCACACAGTAATTTCAGATACATACATAAAGGTGTTTTGAGATAAGAATATCGTAATTGAAATCCATTGGGGTCTCTGTAAAGCATAGAGCTATTTTACCATGGACTGTTTTAAAAGTGGGCGATGAGCACGTACTTAAACTCTAATTGTGGGTACGACATAAATCTTTTCTTAATGATTAAAGCACGAAAAAAAAAGACAAAAATAGACGCACCTACTAAAAAAGTGTTCTGAACTTTTCTGAAATGTGTGTTTCTTTATTTGTTTTTATTCATCAAGTCTAAATTTGTAAGAGGTGAGACAACTACGCGAATAATCTAACAACAATGGAATATTTTTTTATTATTTATAATTTTATTAATGATGTTAAATTTTGTATGTCCGCTTGCAACGATATCAGGAAACACCGAATATGGCGTATGCTTGTAACACTCAGATATCGTAAACCCATGATAAAAGAGTCATCCGCTCCCAAGCTAATTCGATCCTATCTCATAGTACGTGGATGTCATCACAGATGATTAGAACGATACCTACGATTTTTACTAGCTCGACAGTGTAAAAATGGTTTCAATTTAGGGGATCTGTGGTTTCCGGAATCGGATAATTCACAGCGTTCACAGGAAATCAGTCATGCAGGAAAGGCCTGTATCTGCTCAGCGTTAACTTAAATCAAGTAAAGCGTGAGAGCCGCTTGTTGAGCCGTCCATCTCATGGCAAAGCATGTATTTCTAGCTTTCGTGTATTTACTAAATGGCTTTTTGTTATCATGAATAAACTGGGATGCGTTTTATTAGTTTAATTGTAAATGTTACCATTTTGTCTACTACGATTAACTTGTAGCAAAATGACACCTTCGTTATGACTGTATTTAGTATGGCAGCAACCTTTAGTACTGCAATGAATAGTGTACTAAGTATACGTATATGAACTGCCGTCCTATATACATATTTTAAATTGAATAAAGCTAGACAAAGAATACAAGAATGTTATTTTACAGAAATCTCAGTCGATCAGAAAGATCAGCTGAATGTTCCGGCTTTGAACGAACATTTGAAATCTGTTTCATTTCTCAACTATAATTTTATAGCACATCCTTGGATTGCACAATGTATCCAATTATCAGAGGGTGGTTCTGTTTTACTGATTATAAAAGTGAGCACTGCCACTGTCTTCTTGTTTTAATGTAAATGATTTTTGAAGGTTGATACGGGATGTCATCCGTATGATCTTTTTTTGAGTTGATGCCTGTTCATTGTGACAGAAATATTTCCTTCGTTGAAGCTTCAATTAATTCATTAGTCCTAACAGTACTGATATTTTTATTAACTGTCCGACCAGTGGGCGCAATGACAGGCTAATACCGCGCTTTTTGGAGTGAAAAATTGCGTCGTATCGGTTCTCCATCGAGTTTTTTATGCCAATTCTAAATGGCTCCCACGAGTGGATCATGCGCTTCTCGGGATTCTCCGATCGTTCTTCTCACCGGTTACGATCTTTTCAGGACTTACTCCACAAACTCATCGAAAGAAGTGAGAACGCCGGGCCCAATATACTTTCTCAAGTAATTCAGCAACTAAGATTAAGTCAGATAGAAATAACTCCTTGAATTCACATAAATTGTGCAGTATCTATTCAAGTATATAGAATAGTTTATTAACACACTTGAATCTGTAAAAAAAGCACTTTAAATGGAAAGAATGTCTCTGCAATTTTATAGGTAGTGTGTCCAACAAGTTTGTTAAGAATACTAAGCCTTAAACTGTAGTTGGCCGAGGTGGAACGCTATAATTCGCGCTAGAGAATTTTGTTCCTTGGGGAGTTGATGGCAGAAATGATGGAAATCGGCTACAAACAATTTGAGCTTCAAATGGATAGTACACTAAAAGTTCTCTTTTTTGTTGTTGTTTCGCAATAAACAGGTGGTTGAACAGTTGGGTAAAATTGGTATCGATAACATAGATCTTCGTACGGAGATATTTCCCGTTGAATATGCGGAAGTAAAAAGAAGATCGCAGGAACTCTTTGAAGAGCACCACCCTCTTCTCACTATTCATTGTGGGATGCATTCCCAGGCACGTGCCGTCGTGCTTGAACAGGAGGCACGAAACTCAGGTAAAGTTCAAAGTCCAGCTTAATAGATACCACATTTTTCTCATCCATACGTCTTCTTAATAAGAGTAATATCAATATTATAAAACGGTCGCAATCTGAGAAGGCATGTACCCCTTACACTTTAGGTACAAGAAATACGGTGCGTACTAATTTACTCTGCACGCTGAGTTATTGAATTCGTACATGTCTATGACGGGTTTCTTATCTTTCTGTATTAATAAATAGCAGCAGGTTGCAAAGGTGTAAAGGGCAGTTCTCTTGTCTGCAACGCCCAGTTAATTTAGTCACACAAGTCTAACTTACCGTTTTGCTATTTTTGGGGAAATTGCCAAATATATACGAACTCGTATATATATGAGCCCTCTTGCATATTAAGTTCTATCAAGCCAGATGTAAAGATATGGCTTTATGTATAAAGATCTTGGATGGTTGACATAATTTTGAACTTTAATCTCTTGTGCTTGCTATGATGGATTTGTTTTTTCCAGAAATAGCTAGTACAAAGAATAGCGGACGGCGACATTGCCGATACCACAAATAGGCCGCTAGTCGAAACAATGGACTTCATGTTTTTGTGAAGAAGCCCGTCCTCACCTACGTTTATTTTTCCTTAAGCCTATTTTTATAATGCTTATGTTGCGGATATTTTCGTTAAAGGTTTATTGATCGCATCAAGAAGAATCAGCAAATGTATGCAGCTCAACAAATTTAAATTAATTTAAAAATATTTTACATAAAAACTCTCTGTTTGCCCGGGCTAATCTCAAAATCGCTAACAAATTTGCTTATTTTTATAGTTTGCCTTGATCTGATTGGAAGTCTGATTAGAAAATAGAGAATGTATAGCTGATGTTCAAAAAAATCATTATCGTGTTTAAAAATTAATTTATTTTAAATTCGAAATTAGACTCACATGCAAGGAGTTTGTGCTGGGGACCAGTCACAACCAAGCCAAAGTTAATGGCAGTACTGAGCGTCACACCCGGAGCATTTCTTCGTGCAAGATAGCGGCAAATGCGCGCTCTCAGACGTTTGATATCTTAATTATCCGGAATGTAGATGAAGGTGTAATCTGCACTTTAACGTTGTTAAATTTCAATATCATAATTGCATTGACAGCTACTGAGTTTTCGGGAAATATTACATTAAAGATCCATTATAAATAGGCGTCACCAATATTATAAAATAATACTATATTGATCATAGTATATTCATTGGCTCCTAGTCTATGAATACTAAAAATTTCTAGGTATTATAAAATAATTGCGGTTCATAATATTGCATTGAACAGTAACTATCATACAGAGAATTTCTCTGTTCTTAATTTATTATGCCATATGCTGATTATCCATTTTATTAGCTTTCTTCATGATACTGGTCCGTACAAATAGATAATTAATGCCAATTGGTGTAACTCTGAGATCTAATTATGTGTACAGTACCATTTTCTGTTGTGGTTTTTCTCTTCAGGGTATGACGCAGCCGATGTGCAAGGTCGGCTTCCAGAACGTAATTGCTGTGTAAGCTGCCCAGCACCAGAATTTCTTTCAACGGGCTTAAATCTCGAAGCGATAGTATCCCAGGTGTGCAAAAGCATCTCTGTGCCAGTGCACATTTCGAGAGATGCTGGCAACTACCTTTGCGAGTTCATCTACTACTGTTCTCTGTCTCGTTGTCGTCGTACGCTATTTGTGCATCTTCCGATAATTTCGAGCGAATTTACCTTGGAGTGCCTTGTAGATGCCCTGAAAAAGATTGTTATTTTTGCCGTGGCTCAGTGCAGCCGACAAAGTGAAAATAGTCAACAAACCCCATAATGCGCGTTTTTATGGTAGGAACCATACCAGTAAAAATAAATCGTCACATCCGCCATAAGTTGTTGTTGTCAAAAGTTTATAGTATAAAATTAGAAGTCTCTATCACCTGAGCCTCTCAAAGGGTTTTACTTACAAATTACGAAGAATTAAGGTTCAATTTGCTAAAGAACATTGAAAAGTATCAAATGAAAAGTCAAACACATGATCGTCAAGTAGCGCTTACACATTTACACTATTATGCTTATTCATTCGAAAGAGTCTTCGAAGAGTTAAAGAGGATCTAAATAAATTGTGCTACCGCCCTTGCTGAATGAAAAATAATCCGCTTAGTACTTCTTTTCGGACAACTACTAAGCGCCTAAAATATTTAGCTATAATGTAATTTATTTCTTATGTTTCTTCATTTAGCGATTTCGAACGTTAGACTTTTTTCAGTGTCTTACGTACACTATCAGGTCACTTGGATAGTACATCTAGATTTTTGGTTAATCGCTATGTGTATCGGATATTTTTTATATCCACAATTTGAAAAACCGACCCCACTAATTGGGACCAGTTTTCATTGTAGGGCTTGACCCAAAGTAAAAATTCTGTCATGAAAATCAAGATCTCATTAGACTCATTTTTACCTTTGAAACCTAAGAGGACTATTCTAAAAACTTTAATAATAACCACAAGCCGGGAACGCTGCGAAGTTAGTCATGACTAAGTTTAATTATCTATAAAAGCACTGCTAGTATGCATCTTCGGCAACTACGATTTGTGAAAATTCTATTAATTAGCCTTTATTACTCGAATTTCTAAAGGTAGTTATAAACTATAAAAGACGAATTGTTTATAAGTATTCCTCGGAAGGAACTCAGCTGTTTTTACTCTATTTGTAGCATTTGCATGCAATGATTTGTTGCAATAGAGTACTACCAATCAGCACTCAAAGTAGTCGCTTCTAATTAGGTTTTATTACTGTTGTGATTAGGTTTAATACTATTGTCGCTGTATAAATGTGTCCGTACCGCTAAAACTAACCATTGCAGCAATCGAGATGAAAATACGCAAAAAAAGGGAAGATAATCTTTTCGACTTGTTTGGCTCAAAAAATAAATAAAGAGGAATCGCAGAGGGAAAGTAAATGGCAAGTGAACAGGCCAGCAGGAGAGGTGCGAACTTATTGTTTGTAATCAAGCCGAATAGGACGTTGTTTAATGACGACACAAGCATAGTCGCGAATGTGACCCCGATCTGATAATTTGCTGGCGCATACCACTCTCTTCAACTAGTCTGTAGTACTAATTAATGATCGTCCGATCTGGTACCAGTGAAATTAACAAAGTATGAACGAGAACCGAGCAGCTAGGCCCTTCAGGAATTTTTGTGTAAGGACAGATTAAATAATCAGAAGGAGCAGTAAGTAAGCAGAGCTGAAACTGTGCAAGCAAATACAGATTATTCCTCCCCATTCGCGATTTTGTATATTTTTACTTTCCCGAGTGCACAGATTAGGCAGATTTTTGTGAATCGCTACAATAACATCCTGAGGAAGGCCAGCGCGAAGGATAGTGCCGACTGTAGATATAATTTTTCCTCTAGAAACAAAAAGGTTCGTTGTTAGTCTTTTATTTTTCCAGACCACTCCAACTGATATGCCTCCATCTTCAAAATCGGCGTAAAACAGGAGCGGGACACTGACTCAAACCTTACTAAGTGAAAGAGCTTTCGCGCTTTATGAGAAATGCAACTTTCAAACGCACCCGCTAATAATCGCCGATCACAACCCGACCCCGATAGGGCTGGGGGGAAGCGTGAGGGGGACAAATTTTAAGTCATTCAAGTACACAACGGATTTCCACCCAGCCACAAACCCTTCAAGACTCTGATTCTATGACGCTTTCCCGATTGTGATTCAACGACCCGCCCAACAAAATCGGAACCATAACAACTTTCTGTTGGCAATCGACGATTCAATGAACAAAATGTACCGCTACAAGAAGTCCTATTGTTGAGAGGTATTGAAGTACAGTTGTGGTGCGGGGTAAAATAATATAAAATGATACCAATCTGGCCCCGGAATCCGACACGCTATACAGAACCAATGCACCTGCCACCAAGGCATTTCATACAATGCAACAGCGTGGCATGAACGAACAGTGGTATCCTTGTAAGGAAACGTACAATCCTTCTTTAAATATACAGGGGAATTTCTCTCATTATATAGGTTCACTAGCACCGGCACATGACATTTCATGTCAGTTTCTTCAGATATATTATCTAGACCCTTATGGTGCCATCGAACGCAAATTGCACATTACTGAGCGTCCTGAATACCGCGTCATCGTAAGAATGACAGAAGTTGTACTCCAACAGTAAATCCCAATATTCATTACTTCATTATAGCCAAGAAGACCATTTGTGACGTGCGCTAACTTCGCTTCATCATTGATTCAGGCCGACCACCACTAGGCATACGCGGCCACATATATAATGCACCAAGAGCCGACGAAGTAGGATCGCTCAAGATTGCCGCGGCCTTTCCGTAGCATTCGGCACATCGTTCTACCCTGCCGGAAAATCCCCGATGAGCAAATTATGGCCAATTCATGGATGGCTGGACTCCAAGTCATTCCAAAAAGTCACACCTATCCTGTGACAGTCCTTGGTACAGTTCCAGTTTAGGGACGACAGCCTACTTGTTCAGTTACGGATAACTCACATGCAACGACGCGTACTGCATCATGAATAGACTATTTAACCATTTGCACTGGACAGGCTGCCTGTATTAACAGTAGCTTGTTGATATGGTAGTGAAGATTAAGTCGAAAAACCAATTCAATGCATTCATCAATCAGTTCCTTCAAGCAACGGCACATAGGGACTTCATTTGAAATAATGACGACTTAAACCTTGTGAAATCAAGACCTCACCGAAAGCCAACAGCCTGCGGATAGACTAGACTTGACTGTAAGTGTTGTCCGCTGTCTAACAACCAAAATTTCTAAAAAAGAGTTTTCGTATCCCCACATTTAACGCTGGCTCAACGAGCAAACAAGTTCCCGGTCAGAAATGTACGGCGAATTTTTGCAGGCCGGGATCCTGGATTTAATACAAAACCCAAGACTTTACAGGTTAGTACCGACGCGCTTGATTCACGGCCCGTTTGAGACAGTTAAATAGCTATGCATGATAAACGGTCAGTACTCAAAGAGATTTCTCAAGCTATACACGGAGTGTACATTTAATGCTGACAATGATCGTTCAACATATGAGCGTCGCTCCCCCAAGATAGGCCACACGTCGTCAGCTTCACAAATAGCTACAAGCACCTTAATCATGCCACGGCATTGCAATGGATGGTTCCGTACAACGTTGATCTCCCGAGATATGCTACATGTGTATTCTGCTCCATCATGCCCGTGGATATAATCGTTTGATGCATTAAAAGCAGTCGGCACAGGTTACGTTTCTTGCATTTAGGCTTGCATTTAGAGGGCGCCTCTTCTCGATGACAGGCATTGGAATCCGAAGATGGCAGATGCTAACACCAGCCAAATGTCACACCAAATCGATATCTCTTTATGTTCATTTCGATAACGGACGAGCTAGCTGACCTGCTCCGCCCATGGAGCATGTCCAAAAGGCAATGACTGAAAATTTCCTATATAATGCGCGATGTCTACGCGCAGTTGGACGCTAACCATCGCGGACGCCCATTGCGATTAAACATTCACACTTCAGGGCAAATTGGTCGAGTATAGCAAGAATCTATACGATTTCAATCTCTTTTCGCCACGACCACTTCCAAAAGCCAATGTGAGCGCTGCAATAAAAAGCTAATGACCTTGCTGGGCAGCACGAAATTGTATTGTCACGTGGACGATTTTAAAAAGAACGTCCACAGAGTAATCTCCACTGATATAAGCCTCTTTCTAAATACGTTTTGACAAAATGATCTTCATAAACGTGCCTGGGTGGGAATTCACTTTTTATAGAAATATGCGCTGACAGAAAAGTGGCGTTTGCCATGGCTCCTTCGGGCACCGCTGCAACCTTGATGTCTGGCACACTGCTTACCCCGCTCGTTAAGATCCCCATCTAGATCACCAAAAATATGGTATATAATATTGACAATACTCGAAAACAACTTATCCATTGGTCCGAGATATTAACAATTCTTATGCAATCTCTTTCTTGGAGGGACACAGTGTACAATGCGTTTAATTAAATCTCGAATGGCGCTAACTCTACTCATTTTACAAGCTTAAACCCGAAGCATACATATATTCTGTTGCCTAAATAAACGCCCGATTAATCTCAAGAGGAACCTTGTCCGCAGGAACGATGCATGTGTGCAATGGCAGTAATCAGTAGTCGTACACGATTTGCATCCGACTCTCATAGCCATCAAAATTAACACGGACCGACGCAAACATGAGGTCGTGCTGTTTTACTTTCTCCGAAAACGCGGACACACTACTTAGCCGCTGCCATTTTTTCGTACAATTTCACTTCGCAATGACCACCCAGAAAACGCGAACCTAAACCGTAAATAAAGTCCTGATTGATTTCGAAGTACCGGTCTTCAGTCACCGTCAACACCACATTGCTCTCAGCTATGTCCATGGGTTTGCAGATAAGTTGAATTGCTTTTCAAAATCAACGCCATTACACGAAACAATGTGATTCGCGCCATCTTGCACTTATATGCATCGCATTCAAGTGTCGCCTTTGCAACACTTTTTTAACACACAAAATTTAAGCATTCACACAATGGCGATGATCCACGTCTGCAGGTACCGGCGTGGCAGTCGACAACTCACGCCTTAACTACTTGCATACTTGTGTCTGTACATTAAATTACCATGGCAAATATGCGAAATATTAAGAATTTGTAAACGGATTATATTGGGGAGTTTTTTCTGTGTTTTTTTTTTACAAAATGGGTTTAACATTGAGTTTAGACATATATCTTGAATACATATTTCTATGACCCTGTCGTAAAGGGGCGATTTTTTCGAAATGTTTCTCGAAATCTCATAGTATATGAACCGTCATAATCTTCTTTTCGATATGTGAATACTTTTCCGAGAAGCGGTCTTATCTGTCCTACAGAGGACAACGTTTGCGAAATGATAGGTCTGAACCACCATTTTCGTCGATTAAATTATTATGTTTTCTGATTAGTAGGATTTATGAAAACTATTAAATGAGAGATCGGTTTGGGTTAGGCGAAGTCTTAAGACTGGCACCGCATAGACGATTATAGCTCCGTTATTTTTTCAAGCAGCAGCATACATGCATTGCATTAATGGAAATCGACTATATCAAAG